AATGACAGCAGCAGGTTATTTAACTGACTAAGGTTTCTATCATTACATTTGATTTGATTTGTTCCTGCTCCCGGTGGTTGGAACATTTATTCCACTCTGGATTAAATCAGTCTTTGTTCACTTTATAATAAAAAATAAAGAAATAAACAAACACTTTTAAAAACCTCGGTATTCATTCTTTTCCTGCTTTGTGTGTCAACTTTCACGGTTGCTAAGCAACAGAGCATACGCCCGCCGAAGGGTAGACCTGTTCGAATTCACAGCCAAAACTCTTCCGGTCTCCTTATTTTCAAGGACTTCGAAGGATCCAGTCCAGGAGGATGCAGCCTAGGTTTTCGAACAGAGCCGTGGAATCCGAACAGACCTCAGCGCCGTGCTATGATGTAATCGTCCTTCGAATCTGGCCTTCTGAGGACACAGCCCATGAATCCAAACAGAGCCCATATCTGGTGGGGAAACACAGCTCGACGTAACACTTGTTAACACAGGCAAAAAGCTTGCTGGCCAGTGGCGACCATGACTTCGTCAGAAAGATGTCGTTGGTGTAGACACTTGTCAATCAAACATGTCTGACCAATAGAGAAGCACCCACACACTGCGGAATGTTTGTGTCCAAATCATTCGATCAAAACAATTTGAACTTCAAAACTTTTTGCATTCACAAAAAATTTGATTCAAATAGAACTTCAATTTTTTTTTACTTAAAAAAAAACAAAACAACAAAAAACACATTCTCTTCAACACTTTTTTTTTGCACTTGCACAGTTTTCTTTAATTTTTTTTTTTTTTTTTTTGATTGAAACAACTTTTTGGGAACTGAATGATTAAGACACAAATGTCCTCTACCCATGTATGGCCCAAAATAGATTACTTCAACCAAAGAAAACATTTTCAATAATAAAAAGTGTTCAAATGCAATTTTTGGAGTCTCAATATTTTATTTGCATTCAAAAACTATTTTCTATGATTGGAAACGTTTATCTTTTCATTGAAGTAACTTTTTTATTGATTCTGTTGTTTGTTTGAAGCAAGCCATTACATGGTCCAATAAAAAAACAATGTTACTTAAATTAAAAAGTTGCTTCAAATAAAAAAGACTGCACTTCTATCAAATAAAACATTTTCAGTCAAAGAAAAGCAGTGTTCAAATGTATTTTTCTGAGTCTCAGATATATTTTTGCATTCAAATACTTTTTTTCTTTGATTGAAAAGTTGTTGTTTTTTTTGCTTGAAGGTTTTTTTTAATTGAGAATATAGTTTTTAATTAAAGCAAACTTTTTTTAAATGAATGATAAACAAATCTACCTTCATAGTACAGGAAAAAGAGATGTTCAATCTTATAAACATTTTAAGGAAAAACACTTATGATACGGTCTATAAGATTATTTTTTACGTTATTTATTGGAAACTGGATTATCCATCCATCCATTATCTAACACGCTTGTCCTGAGTGAGGTTGCGAAGGGTGCTGGTGCCTATCTCCAGCAGTCAATGGAGGAGAGGCGGGGTACACCCTGGACAGGTCGCCAGTCCATCGCAGGGCAAAACAGAGACACACAGGAAAAACAACCATTCACGCACACACTCACACCTAAGGACAATTTAGAGAAGCCAATTAACCTAACAGTCATGTTTCTGGACTGTGGGAGGAAGCAAGAGTACCCAGAGAGAACCCACGCATGCTCAGGGAGAACATGCAAACTCCATGAAGAAAGCTGAGCAGCTCGGAAACAGGATTAGTAACAAGAAAATAGTCTTTTTTTTTTTTTTCTTGTTTTTTTTTGAGCATGTCTGTCCTGATCCACACTCCTTACTGGTTGGTGGCAGTAATGCACCAATTAGTTGTTTGGCAACCGCCATTAAAAAGAAAAGAAGAAGAAGGAGTATGCTTTTTTTTTTTTTTTTTTTGAAACTCAGAAGCTGGTTAAATATCGGTGGGGTGGCCGATGTCCGGTATCAGAAGCAAGTGTAGAGAACACAAATCCCA